TATACACAAAGGCTCTAAAAACCCTACAAAACCCACCACCCTGGAAACACCCCCAGCCCCTGCAGCATGCAGCTGTCTGCCTATTCCCTGGTGCTTGGAGCAAACCCCACGCTCTGATTGTTTCTTGTCCTCCGTTCTATTGACTTCCTGGTCACATTCAAATCAAAAATTGTTATGCTGTATTTATCAACCAGATGACATCTCAGTTCCTTGAGGCAGCCATGGACCTAATCCTTTCCAAGGAACCGTTTTCCCTGTTCAGCTATTAAATAGATTTCTCCCATCTAATCCCTGTTGTCCAGCTGATGGAGGTGCCTCGCTGCCATCAGGGCTGGAAGAAGTGACCTCGTCATGGTGCAAGCCCTGCAGGAGGGGTTGAGCTGGGCTCATGAGGACCCTTTGCTGAGTTCATGGATCTCTTGAAGTGTTATATGTTGGAACAGGCTGAGCTGGCTGGTGTTCAGGAGGAATTTCTGACACCAAGGATAGCTGGGTTTGTTAAAATCTGAATAGGATGATGGTACTCAAAGAGTGTCTCTTAAAATAGATGAAAGATTGCTTTTTGACTTTTGAAGACCCAGGATCAGGCTTGTAGCTAACTTGTGGAGAGATGAATTGCTATTCTGGATGATGTCTTTGATTACCACGTTTCTGGGTGTTGTGGTTTTGTCCTAATTAAGACATTACGGTCTCTGAGGAAGAGAGAGACCTAAGGGGAGAGCCACACTATCGGAGTAACAACTGTGAAGACCTGTTCCCAAATGAATTTCCCAAGGCTACTTAATGAAGGACAGCGAGGAGCTTGGCTCACTTAATAAGCAAATTCTGCTTTGGCTGCATGGACCAACTGCATGGTGGAACTGGTTCAAACACAACCACTGTTGCTTGGAGGAGCTCTTTTTACCTTCTCGGGGGCTATAGAGTAACCCAGACCACACATTCCTCAAAGAGAAACAGGCCAGAGAAAATCCAGTTCCTCGTGTGCATCTCTGATCTGATGAGACCAGGTCTCTGCAAGGATACTCTGAGTAACGCATTGATATCCTAGAGACTTGGTAAATATAATGAAAATATTGTCTCCAGAAAGGTTCAGGAATGCAGCACATGCTACTGCACTACTAATGCGTTACACAGTTCTCCAGACTGGGGTGTTTTGCTTGCTTTCATGCAGCCACTATTTATTATTTGAATGACGAATCTGGAAAATTTCCCAGATTTAATGTCTGCCCCATTACTTTCTGTCTTGGATACTGTGGATAATCAGATGAACAGTAAATCTATTCTGTGGAATAGAATTACATTATCTTCTTTTTTTTTTCCTTGTCAAACAACTTGTGAACGATTTTTCTTTTTTTCACCCCCATAAAACACCTAGTAGATCCAAAAAAAGTAAAATCTGTATGCCAAAGACACGGTATCCCATATGTACCTCTGATGATGCATCTGCAGAAACACCCGTGGGCGTGTGTTTAACTTGGGCAGGCCGGGGGAAGGTTGTGTGAAATAATCCCAAACACTGATACTTTCAGTTGGGTGGGTGGAGGGAAGTGTTGTAGGGTGTTTTTGGCTCATTGGTTGGATGTTTTGGTTGTTGAGGTTTTTTGTAGCCTGCTTTGTGTATTTGATTGTCCCACTTCTCCATCCTTTCTGGTTGTTTCTCAAGTCTGCTGAATTTCTATGAAACGAGACCACCCCATCGAGCAGTGAGGGGACATTTGCAGTGAGAGGTCTTGGGTGCTGCCATCTGAGGAGCTGGTGCTGGGTTCTCTGGTGCTGAGTGGTGCTGGGGCTGCCTGGGCAGTGGGTGGAGAGGCACGGGGGGATCGTGTCCGCTGCCATGCGTGCTTCTCCAGCAGTCCCAGTTGTTCCTGATGAAGTGCTGGTGACACAGCCCTCAGAAGGGAGCAGGTATGAAGGAAACCCACCCCCGGGAACAACCAGCTTCATTCTGAGCCTCTGCACCAAGTGTTAATTACACCTCTTGCATTGAAAACGGGAGGCTTCCCCCCGCCCCGCATGGTGATGAGAAACTAAAGGTCAGGAATGAGCCCCCTGAAGGCTCATGAAGAGGGAAATACGATGTGTTTTAACTGACGTGAAAGGTTAATGGGGAGGATCAACATCCAAGGGCTGCAGCTAAGGAAAGGGGGCTTGTTTGGGCATTCTGGTGAATGGGAAGTGTGAGACCATGGGGCAGAGAACACACAGCCCTTTAGGCCTGCTCAGAAATAATAGTGCAGGCTTTTTTTAACTTCAGAGTGTAGTCTGCCCTCAGTAAAAACAAGTTACATTAAAAAAAAAAACAAAACTGTGCACCAGAAAGAGCAAACCTCTTTTTCCTGGTTTCTGCTTATAAGATTTACAGGTACTTAAAATAAACCTATGAAAAACAGACCTGGTGCGTTGGAATTTGCTAACTAGTGAGAGCAATTACCTCCAGGTCCAGAGACCTAACGGAGCTTGACTTTTTGGAACTAAAAACTTGGCAAGTGCTTCTTCCTGCTGCTGTCGTAAAGGTGTACATGAAAAGACGTGCTGACCTCTGCTAGAAACCCCAGGAATCCAGTTCAGAGAGATCCTCCTGCGCAGGGCACAGCCAGATTCAGGCAGCACAGATGGGGCTCAGTGTGGAAAAGCCGGCCAGACATTCGCTTCCCATGGTGTGGCTTCAGCGGGGCAGATGCTTTGCAATTGCCTGGTGTACCACACCAATTAAATGGGCCAAGAGCAGCAAGTTTAGGTACTTAACCAGAAAATAAAGACCTCAGCTGACAGCCAGCAGTGTGTCCTGCTGGTTCGACAGGAGTACGGAGAATTAACGCAGCGTGCCCTGGTGGAAGTTGGTCAGAGCCTTTTTGGCAATGGTTTTGTATCGCTTTAGAGATCACACACCAGTTAACTAGGGATGCTAGAATAGGTGTGAATCAGGCCCTCTTATGAAATTAATGCCCAAATTTCAGAAGACCTAAAGAAGGGGAAAGAATAAACTCTGCCTCTCTCCTTTCAGTGATATTTAAGTAACAAAAGATAAGTAATGAAAAACACACAACCAACCTCTGTTAATAAAGAAACGTAAAGCAATCCTTTTTTCTCTGACCTGTCCCATGCACGAGTGGAAAACGAAGTCTGTGCAATGAGATAAACATGATAGAAGTGAAATCTGAGATTGAAATTTATTTTTTTTATAAGACTTTCCAGTTTGTAGGGTGGAGGTAAACAGGTAGCACTGGTAAACCAGCGTTCTGAGGGAAATTGTTTGCTGCTGTTAGTATCCCTTCATCATTCCTGGCTGGGGGAGGGAGCTCCTGTTTCCCACAGCAGTTGCAAAAGGCCTTTGGGAAGGATGAGATTTTTGTCCTAAAATATTAAGGACGAGTAACAAGAACGTTAAAAAAAAAAAAAAAAAATTAAAATCCATTAAATGCAGGAGCTCTCTGCAGACTATCTTTCCTTGCAAATTAAGAGACAAGGCCAGCTTTGCTGCTGTTTGTAGATTCCCTTTGGAATAAACACTATTAGAAGGGTTTGTGCCCTAACATCTGTGTCTGTGCTGATGGGGACCAGTGTCCAGCAGTGGGGACCAGACTTGGTCACAAGCTGGTGCAGAGCAGCAGAGCTCACCTGAACTGGGCCACGGGAGGCAAATTCAGCCTCTCAGCTTCAGCATCTCACCAGCAGTCACTCAGAAATGTTGCTCATGTCTGTGCATTATTGTTATTAGGTGCAAGAAATACAGTTTAAAAACTATAATTAATCATTTCTGAGTAACCTCTTTTTCTCCACATTTACGGCATCGATGGGTATGACTGTTTAATATGTCTTACCTATAAAATCTGACCTGTTTTATATACTCTTTATGGAAACAGTGTACAGTCATAAATTAAAAGATGCAACTGTTTTGGATATTTTACTGGTGGTCCTGTATTTCCCTGCCAAACGTGCAGCTGTTTTAGGTTTCTCAGGATAACATTATAAAAGGCTGTATGCATTTTGCAAGTTTATGCTTGAATTGCCAAGCCAGAGGTGGAATGACTCAACCTTCCCAGGAGCAGCACGTGCCAAGTGATGAATCCAGCCAGCGAGCTGGAGCTCCGCGGCTTGCGTGGCCGCTGTGGAGGGCAGTTCTCATTTATGGCACTTCACCTGGTGTTCAGGATTGGAGATGCTCATCGTGCTCAGCATGGGGATTGGGTGAGGCCGCAGCCAGCGTCTGCCTTTAATGGGGTTTTGGTGCAAAACTAGCTCAGAATCTGATCTTGTATTTGTCTTACGTGGGGTGCCGGGGCTGTATGGTCACGGTATTGAGTGGAGCCATTCGAGCCCCCCTGAGTGGACACCTTTCATGGGGGCTCTGGGCGTGCAGGGCTGGTCTGAGCCCACAGCAGGCGCTGAGGGCAGCCCGGAGCTTGTGGCCGTGTCAGCATAGCTGGCGTGTTTCAACCGCCACCCATCAGCCTGCTGTAAAACTGGCTCTGCAAATGAGTGAGGATGCATAGTCAAGGGTCAAGTTTAGAGGCCTCTCTTGCCAAAATGTGGATGACAGCCTCCTACAGATCTAATTCCCTAGTGTCAGTAACCTTACTCCGAATATGGATAGGCAGAGAGCAGAAAGTTCAGCCCTGTTGTCATCCGAGCAGCAGGCACAGTCAGCACTTGTGAGCACCCAGTGTTGACTGGGCAGGGCAGAAACCCTCCCATTCCTGGGGGAGTACAGGAAGAAAGCTTCTGCTCCTCCTCATCTGAGAAGGAACTACCAAAGGGGGAACGCAGCCCTGCCCCCCGAGTGAGCACCCAGAACACAAACCCCTGTGTGTACTTAACCCTGCTTGTCGGGAGGTGCATCAGCCTCGTCGCTGGCAGTTCTGTGCTGGCATGTTCATTGGTGGCAGCTGGCATCTCCTCCCTTTCTCCCAAAAAGCAATCCTGACTTCACTGTCCTGTGAACCATGTAGGTGTTTGGGTTTATTTCTGCTCTAAAATAACACTTGTCTTTGTTTTAGGTATCTCAACCATGTACGAGCTGCCTCGCCACAGGATCTTGCTGGGGGCTACACTTCCTCACTTGCTTGTCACCGAGCCCTGCAGGATGCTTTCAGTGGCCTTTTCTGGTGCCCCAACCAGGCAAGCTGCAGCAGCCTATGACCAAGGGACACTGAACGGGGTGAGAAGCAGATCGAGCCAGCAAAGGGTTGGTAAAATTGCTGCCATGTGCACAACGGATAAGCTGCAGTCACTTTTCTGTGTAAAACCAGCTGTGTTTGAGTGCTAAAGGAGAAAAACAAAGCCATCTGCAGGAGAGCTTTGTAAAATGGTGGCTACATTTTTGTGGAGGGGGAAACTCGTTAGTCATGTGGCACTTTGCTGAGGGAGGCTGAAGCAATAAGCCACATCTAATGGAAGATGTGAATAACTCGGCTGTGTGTGTTTGAGGTTTAAAGAAATATACTTGTAAATTTTTTTTAAATAAAGCCAGACTTTTTTATTAAAGTTTGTGGTTTTACTCTTATTGCAGGGTTTTATTTGCACAAAATGCCATTTTGATTATAACATTTAGTGTCAATATTCAAGCCTACATTTTCTTCCCATAAAACTAGTTTCCCCAGTTCAGGCAAGTGGGTTTTTCCTCCTGCCAGCTGGATGAGGTGAGAAACCTTGGAACTATGCTGACACAACTCTTATGCAGCATCCTTCCTGATGTCACTTGGTTGTTCTTACCTTTGTCTGGAAAACAAATCTTTAGTTGAAAGTCTTTGAACTCTAAAAGGAGTCTAAGATGCCTTTGTAGAAGGCTAAGTCATTGAAGTAGTCAACTTTGGGTTTGTTTTCTCCCTGTTTAGCTCTGTTTGCAACTTTTTCTGTCCCATTTTCAGGAGCTTCTTTTGGCAGGGACATCCTTTGGCATTGGGATGACGCTTGCCACTTGATCTGCTGCTTTTACATGTTCACCCCTGTGGTGGTGGTGGAAGGCAGGCAGCAGAGGTGGGGTTTCTGTGGTGGGGCTGGTCTTTGCCACGAGTGCGCTGGAACTGTGGGAGGCTGGGAACTGCTCAGGACAGCGAATGCCTCTGGAGTAAAGCCTGAACCTGGTTTTATGGGCCACCCGTTAACAGTTGTTGAATACTGCTCTGAGGAGCGTACTAAATGAATGTATTTTTCTATGTTGTATTAAAGAGAAGAATAAGCTCTATTCCAGACTCTGTGCTTCCTTTACTAAGGAAAGTGGAGGAAGGTGCCAAAATTCCCATTGCCCTTCCTCTGAAATCCTGTTGATTGTGCCCAGGCTAGCTGCGGACGGGCCACGTTAGACAGGAGGCATGGAAGCAGGGAGGATGGCAGGCTGCAGAGCACAGCTCCCTGCCCGGGCAGGTGCCCTGGCCTTGGGCAGAGCATGTGCCAGGCCATTGTAGGAGTCGGCCACACAGCACAGGCCGGAGACCACTCAATACACCTGGGCCCTAGTCTAGCCCTGATACTAGTGCTGTGTTCCACCCGGCCTCTGCTCTCCTTTCCTCCTGGCTGCAAGGCTTAAAAGTTGACATGCTCTTTATTTATCCATTCCCTTGCCCGTGGTAGACCCCTGCCACACTGCTGGGCCCATGTGTTGGCTACCCCAGCAGGCGGAAGCTGTGGGAGTGGGTTCCTGTGTCACAGGTGCCCCTGAGCCTGTCCCCTGTTCCAGTGTCAGATAGCAGCGGGCTCCTGGGGTTCAGCTCAGGAGCTGTTTGGGGCCCCCTCAGGCTGGCAGACACACCTCGCCACAGCGCTGCGCCTGGTGCTGTTTGTGAAGCCCGAAGGAAGGAGTCCAGAACTGCAGGTGTGTGCTAACGTGTGTCCTTGGCACACACTCATGCAGCGTGCGTGCACGTCGGCTCTCGTTTGCTCTTTCATCTGAAGGGATCCTACGAAAATGTCGACTGCACAGAAATACGGGAAAACCCCTGGTTACAAGTCTAACTACATAAAATCTGTATGTAGGTACCTGTAGTCCGTATGCAGGTCCAGGGAGGGGGTCCTGCCCATCTGCCCCGCTCTGGGGACACCCCCTGCAGTGCTGGGGCAGCTCTGGAGTCCTCAGAGCAGCAGAGACAGGGTGACCAGCTCACTCCCTGGGCTTGGCAAGTGCGGCCTGGCAGTTGCCGAGCGGGACAGGCTCGCCCAGCACCGGCTGCGGCCATGGGACAGGCTGGAACAGCCCCGAGCAGAACAAGCCTACTGGCCTCGGTGGCTGTTGGGGAAGAGCCAAGCAGACATGAGGCTGCAGGCAGCAGGATGGAGCTGTGGCAGCAGGGCCAGTGAGGACAACGGACATCTGGTGATCGAGTTGCCAGGAGAGAGCTCTGAGCCTGGACTGAAGGGAAATATCTGAAACCGAGAGGGCGAGAGGAGTTCTCCATCCAAATACACTGTCTGTGGTTGGCATTGCCCAACCATAGTTTGGACGCACAAGAAAAGGAAATCAAAGGCAGAGGCTTTCCGAATCCCTGTGAATACAGGCAGCCAGCTGGAGAGAGCATCCAGGGCCTCAGAGGAGCAGCTGGAGAGGTGGGGCAGAGGCTCAAAGGCCCCAGGAGGACGCGGTGTCGAGAGGACTTCAGCCAGGTACAGCTCTTCAGCCCAGTGTGTGCTTCACCTGCCAGTAGCATTGGGGTCCCTCCTGCTTCAGCTGCAGGCAAGCACGGCATCAGGAGCCAGCTAAGCCCTGACTAAATCTCAGAGTTCAAAAGCATTTGCTATTCAAAAGCCTTGGAAAGAGCATGAATGGCTCTTTGGGCTTTTTTATGTATTCTGTTAAGTTTTTGAAAGGTTGTCTTGCTTACGCAGGAGCTGTTTGTGCATCTGCCAGCAGTAACCCAGCACCCTGGAAGAGCAAAACCGCCTGTCAGAGGGAATCCAGGGCAGGGCCTACATGAGGAGTCCTGCTAGACCTGACAAAACAGAGATCTGCTCTTGCCACAAATGGCACGTTATCAGACTGACACAAGGAAAATCACCCAGCCTGTGGCACTGAATTATCACGGGGTGTGAAACAAAGAGAGCAGAAAAAGCACCAAAACACCAAACGTTACAAAAAAGCAAAGTTTTATTTTTTCATAGTAACACAGTTCCAGTCTGTCCATTGATCCCGTTAGAAACCAGGTAAAGGCAGGAAGCAAGGAGGCAGTGACTCAGAGTACACCACAGGTAACCCCAGCATGCCTGGCACAAACCAGTGAGGCAGTTACTATAGCTCCAGTCTTCAGCTCAGTAATTTTTCTTCTGAAAGATCTTGGCTGGTACACAGACGTTTAGAGGCTGGTTTTGCTGGAAGAAGGTTAGAAAAAGTAAGTTGTTTAATGTACAGTGAAGAGACTGGACTGAACAGCAAGCTGTGCAACACTTAAGGGATTTAACAGGAAGAGAGGAGAATTAAAATCAGGATTAACAGCCACAAATTAAAACTCTTACAGCAGTCATGGGAAGTCTTTGCTAAATGCCAAAAAGGGCTTTCAAAAACATCTCTACTGAGCTACATTTTGACCTGCATCTCAGTGATACCCAACAAAACATACAACAAAAACAATTAAAATATGAAAAGCAAATGAGTGTAAAAGTTTCAGAGCATTAAAGTTTTATCAAAACCTCCTTTCCTCCAGTTCAGGTAACTGCTAACTAAAGCTCTGTCTGTTTCTCAGTGAAATTGTACAGAACCTGATTCTGGGGATCTGGTGACTCCAGATCCAAACTGAGTCTGCTCAAGCCCAGGTCAGAGACTTGTTCCTTACCCTCATCAGGGTGAGGCCTCTTGTACAGCACCTCCGCCGGCACCTGGAAACTAATGCAGAGCATCTCCTTGTTGGGTGCGACGTTTCTAACCAGGTGGGTAGAGCAGCGGCCATCCAAGGAGGCTCCCAGCGAAGCCTCAGCTCGCTCCTGAACGTCTCTGTTGGGGTTGTCACATTTGGAGAAGGCGTAGCAGTGCACTGTGGGGAGAGCAGCAGGCCTGCAGGCCCCCCCAGCCACAAGGTGCCTGAACACTCCCAGAAACTCAATAGCCAAGGCTGGCAAATTCATGACGATGTGAAAAGAGGTTTTCTGATCTTTCAGGAGCGGGAGCTCTTTGGTTAGTTCCTCCCTGACAGGCCCCCGGAGGAAGTCCCTGGCGTCCATGTTGAAGGCCGTGAGGTGGCCGTGCACTCTGTTCAGCCTGCAGTTGTGCAGGAGCCAGCGGTGGGCGTGGGGGTTGAGGTCGTTGGCGAGCACCCGGCAGCGCCT